GGAAGTTCTTTCTAAATGTACTCTTCTAGCTGATTTTGGATGATCTTCAGCAATATTTTGCTTGCATGTGATATTCATGATATTGTTCAATAATTTATACGTTCTGTTGGTACATCTTTCTTGGGAATGGGAACAAATATGCATCTCTTTCAGTCAGTCATCCATGTAGCTGTCCTCTACATTTCTTGGCATGGACTGGTGAGCATGTCCAAGGCTGCATCTGTTAGTTGAAACATGTCATCTGGTATCCCACTGATTCCTGGGTCATATTTTTTGGCTGATGCCTTCAGTGCAACTTGAACTTCCTCCCTTCACTGCGGTTGGCTCTTGTTCATGTAGTAATTCCTGAAACTTTTCCGTGTTGATAATTTCTTTTTAGTACAGTGACTTGGTGTATGCTTTCCATCTTCTTTGATGCTTCCTGGAGCATTCAAGATTTAGCCCATAGCATCTCTCAATAGGGCAACTTGAGGCTTGGATTTGTTTTTCAATTAAACTGTACAAAATGCAAATGAGTTCTTCACTTTTTATTCTCCAATTCCAGCTCTCTGCACATTCCATTATAATACTTTGCTATATCTTCTCAAGCTGCCCTTTGAAATCTCTTCAGCTCTTTTTTTTTTTTTTGGTTGTTGGTTTGTTTTTGGCCTTTCCTTTGGCTTCTCAACATTCTAGTGCAATTTGCAGTCTTTTCTGATACTCATCTTGGATCTTCTGTATCATAATGACCTTTTGCTCTCTTCATAGATGATGTCTTCCCTCAACTCATATGATCTTTGAACATTAATGTTAAATTTATTAGACCTGTTCTGGAGATCGCACTGGGAAAATATGTACTTAGGGACCTTTCCAAATTATTGAGAAGTGACATCCGTTTGAGGACAAAGGTGTGTCTGATTCAGGCCATAGTATTTTCAATTACTAGTTATGCATCTGAGAACTGGACAGTGAATACAGATGACAGAAAAAGAATTGATGCCTTCGAGCTGTGGTGTTGGAGAAGAGCCATGGATGGCCAAGAGAACAAACAGATATGTCTTGGAGATGGTGCAGCTGGAGTGCTGTTTGGAGTCAAGAATGATGAGGGTTTGCCTCACATACTTTGGACGTGTTGCTAGGAGGTGCTATTCCTTGGAAAAGGATATGATGCTGGGAAGGGTGGAGGGTCTGCAAAGAAGAGGCAGACCTTCAGCCAGGTGGATTGGCACAGTGACTGGTGCAGTGTGCCTGATATAGGCCATGATCTTTGCAGTTACTTGCTATGCATCAGAGAGCTGGACAATGACTAGGGATGATAGAAGGAGAATTGATGCCTTTGAGCTGTGGTGCTGGAGAAGAGTGTTGAATATGCCATGGACTGCTAG